GGCAGCCCGCCCTGCGGGGACCCCCACGGTGAGACAGGCCCGCAGCCCCTCGCCTCGCTAAAGCGGCTCAGATGCCGCGTGCTCCGGCATCGCCGCTCTGCCAAGAAGCGGCACAGCCCAGCTGCCCGTGGGTTCGCACCTCTGCTTCCTATATAGCTGCTGCGCTTTCCCTGGCAAGGGGAGGGATGAGAACACACAGCAGGAAGATCAAACCGCTTAATGCGGTCTTATGAAGCATTTCATTTCATCAAAAATATTTGTGTGCATTGATCCCTGCATCAAGATATAAAAAAAGCATAAAGAGGGATCTCTGTATTCATAGCTCTCCTTAAATCCCAGTAGCTCCACACGAAGAAACCATGCGTCACTGTCAGCAGCACGTATCGGGGACAATAGCACCCAGCAAATCTGGGTTGTCAAAAACCAGAACTGCCCTTACAAATGTATTTGGGGTGTTAAAATTGCTCAGGGAATCTTGCCCCGCACATTATAGGCGGGATCTGTTTCGCTGCCCCGGAGGAGATGGATTTGAGCAGGATGCTCGGTGCCTCTCGGCCGCAGCAGCCAGGAAAACTGGCGGAGGAGGGGACCGGGAGCACATCCTCAGCACATGGACCATCCCCCGGGAACGCCGCTGCCCACCACCACCCGTGTCCACTGGCATAGAGAGCACTTACCCCGGGTCCCCGCGGGGAGGCCGCCATTCGCAGCGGGGCCGGCGAACCTGTGGAGAGGGACAGGAGAGATGCTTCACCGTCACCCCCAGGCCCCGCCACCGCGGCCCCTCCAACCTCCCGCCGGCCCTTTTACTTTTTGGGGGTGGGACCAGCTGATGGAGGCGCCTTATCATCTCTCAACCACTTATTTGACTTATTTTTCCAATAAGACTGTTGCCTTGGGCGGGGGTAGGGCGTGGGGAAATGTAGCACGTCTCCAGATCCATCCATTATTTTCCTGGGAATTAGGCTAACTCTGCCGTAACAGGCAGCTCCTCCATCCCCAGACAGTGCCACGGTTCCCCTACGGCCATGAGGCGCTGCCTAAGTGGGATGCTTAATGAGACGTGAAAGTTTTAAGATACTTAAGGTTTTCGGCGCTCCTCCGTTATTTCTTGTCACTCCCTTCATCTGTTCGTGCGTTCGTGCCCCGAAACAGTACAAGCTTTATCGTGTTTATATTTGGCTGCTCGGCTCGCGCGCCGGCACAGCTGAGCTCGCTGTGCTGCGGCGCCGCGGGTCCTTCAGAGCAGACCAGGGGCACAGATGTTCTCTCTGCATCCACGTGATGCTGAGCCCTTATTTTGCTTTCACCACCACATATATTCCAGCTATTTCACGCTGTCTGCTGTGCAAAGGAAAACACCCTGTCTCCCTTACATCTAAAATAGTGTTTTCTTTCTGTTAGGGTGGCTTTGGCCAGAGTTCAGGAGACAACGGACAGATCCATCAGCATCAGCTGAGCCAACACAAGACACACTTGCCCTCCCCTGGCCAAAAGGCGCAGATGGTGGCATATTTTCCAATGGAGCTCTACAAAAAGTCAACTAAGCATTCTTCTCAGCAGCTCGGGGTGGAGGCTGGCTCTCATGTGTGGCCATCTCACGCACGGCTCCAGGACCACTGCTGTACTTCCCGAGCTCCCCCGGTGCTGCCAGCCCCCCCGGAGCCAGGGAAATGCCACACAGCTCATCCTCCAGGATCACCCTGCCAGGGCATCTCCCCTCGCTGGGCACCCCACCGGTGCTCCAGCATGTTCTCCCCCAGCAGGAGCATGCCAGCCCAGTGCCAGACTGGAAGTTCACCGTCGGTGTGCAGTCGCTTCTCCCTTCACCGCACTGCAGCTCTCAATGCCCCGACCGCCGCCGGCTGAAGGGCGTCCAGGAAAACCTCGCAAGCGGCGCCAGGAAGGTACCAGCAATGATGCTGAGCAGAGCCTAACCCAGCGCAGCCCCAGAACTGCCAGACCCCTCTGTTTCACCCCTGAAGATCTCTGCTCTAAAGCCCCCTACACCAGCAAACCACCTCCTCGCCGGCGGAAAGCTGGGATTCGCCGCAGCAAAGCCATGGTGCCACTGCCATCTCGTGGAAGGCACAGCAGTACTGGAGCCGGCACGGGAATGGGTGTCCACCGCACCGGGCATCGCCCCGACCCACGGGCTGGCAGCTACCAGCTCACCGGAGGAGCTGGATAAGCCCCTAAAACACATTTAAACACTGTCGGGTATCTGGAGCATCACACCAAGCCCTGCACAGGGACCGGCGCAGGAGCGACGCCGCAGAGGAAAGGGAGCTTGCTTCCCACCGATGGCGAAAGGGGGATCAGACAGAAAGAAGCCAGAGGGTTTCCAGGAGCGCGGGGCATTGACTCGGGGGTTGGACTAGATGATCTCCAGAGGTCCCTTCCAACCCTGACCATTCTGTGACTCAATCCCGTGCCCAAGCCCAAGCCCACGGCAGTTTTCTCTCCGCCTCCAACACACACGGCGGACGGGCGCTGAGACCGCGACCACCCGTCACCCCCGCACCACGGACAGAGGGATGGATGCGCACGTGCACACGCGCGTATGCAGCCTGGTTTCCCCCAGCGAGGCACTGGCACAGCCCCTGCACGACGATCGCACGTGTGCTGCTGTCACCCTCCCAAGCAGCAGCGCGATGAGATTATTGTTTTTTTCCTCAGTCTATAATTGACATCTCTCCCGTCCTCACGTCTGGAGGGATTCAGAGACCAGAGAGACCGGCAGCAGCACTGGCAGAGAGCAATGTGCTGCTGGTGCAGCCGCTGCGCCCGTCCAGCTGTTCTGGGTGTCAGGCATGGGAACCTAAATGCCATCAGAGCGACCCAAAATGGGATCGGGCTGGTGCCGTGCTGGAAATCCCTGGGGATTTCACACGTTGCTCAGCACTACCATCACAGGGGAACCATTAAACAAGTTAAAAAGTGAGAGCTGAATTCAACTTGATGGAAACTTGGTTCACTCCAGTAATTCATAAACTAGCTCACTGAAACTCAGTGAAGTCATGTTTTTTCTCCCGAGCAGACACCAGTGCCACACTCTATATTTTAAATGTCAACGATCTGGAAAACACTCACTCAGCGATGGTGTAGGCGGCTTCTCCGACTCGTCCCTGTCTTTACGTAGGATCTCCGCAGCAGTTACAAGATGTTCTTCCGAATCAGTTGAAACATGGAATTGGACGGTCCCAGACTCCACGTGCTTCCCCTGAAATTGGAACTGGAACCCTCTCAGACATGTGCTGCACGCAGCCTCCCTCGTCCCTCCGAGACACGCTTCCCCTGCCCCGCGGCCGGAGAAACGGTGGGGCAAGCCGGAGGCAGAGCTAGCAAGGGGCCGTACTTTAATTTCTGACCAAATACCTCCATCCTCACCGAGACACACACACACAGACCTGCCAAATCCACCCACCACCGCTCAGTTTAAGAGGTCACCGAGCAAGTTCTGCAGACACCCATCCACCTCTCCCTGCGGCAGAGCGCGACCCCTCCAGCATAGCACCACCGCGTATTTTGGCCACCCCTTCGCCCCTCCTTCGCCCCAGCCCGAACCTCCTTTTGCTGACAAACACTTGGGAGTGAGGTCTTTATCTCATGCGTGTGCATCTCTCGGAACAAACCAGCTCAGGTCACGGTGGCCCCCCGAAAGCACCGCAATAACTGTGGTGACCACCTTCACAGTAGCTCAGTCTGTACCTTTGCAGTCCGGCAGCCCCGCACACCAAGGACACCATCTATCAGCGTAGGCGCTCGCTGGCAGGGGCTGGGGGGCTGTCACCCTCCTCTTCCCACCCCTCTTCTTGCACTCACACGTTCGCAGAGCTTCCCCAGCGCCTGGCACTTAGGTTTTGGCAAAGAGCCTCTCTAACGGCGAGCCCGCCCAGGCGCCGAAGCGAGCCCTTACCTGGCGGGAGCTTCTGCCGCTCGGCGGGATCCGGTACACCAAGGTTTGGCAGGGGCCGCGGCG